TCATGTTTATAAACACATTTTATGCCAAAAACTCAAGAAATTGAATAAATTCAATCAGATATCAATACAGTGCCTAAAACCCATCCCTGGATAGGCCTAGAATAAAATGTGAAATCCGGGGTTTTGAAATAAAATATAAATGAAGATAAACATAAAAGAAAAAGAAGTTCAAGGTTTTTGTGCATATTTTAAATACCTAGGGCATTTCTGTCAAATTCTGTAACATTTTCTCACAAACCCTGGTTAATTTCTGACCCTGTAATGCACTATTCTATGCTGTATTAATATTTAACAATACATATGTCACTGTCTTTCTCTTTTTGTGCCAAAGGTGATGTATGTGTTGATACCGGAGCACAGTACATCCATGGGGCGTCAGAAAAAAACCCTGTCTACTGTCTACTAAAAAAGTCTGGCCATCTCAACCAGATCCCTGAGATGGGCAAAGAAACATTTTACAGTAACAAGGGACACAAAGTAGATGCAAACTTCGCCAGATGTGCATATGAAGCTGGAGAGGAAATCATTCGATACCGTGGTTCCAACACGGGAAGGAGTTTAGGTGAACACTATGCAGAAAAAACCCAGAGTGTGATTGACAGCTTGCAAGACGATGACGAGAAACCAAGAATGCAGAGTGTTTTTGCTTTGGTCGGAAAAGACATGCTGATTGATGTTGGAGCTTCAGACCTCCACAGGATCTCTCTTGACTCCTGGCAGTATTATATCAACATGGGTGACAGTCTCAATGTTGCAGGGTATGATGGGTTGAGAAGATGATCTACATTCATTTGCAATTATTGCTCACTAAATGATTCATTTAGTGTTAAATGTTGTGTATGGATGTCAGTTCAATGTTTCAGCTTGTGGATATGCTGCTGGAGGACTTCCCTAAAGATCGTTTGCTGCTGAAAAGAGAAGTTAGTAAGATCAAATGGGATGGATCCTTTTCTGTTGCCCCTCCTCATAATGAACCTCTGCCTACTCACACTGAATCTGCTTCTCAAGAAAAAGCCCGCCAGTACCCAGTTTGCGTTATCTGTGAGAATGGAGAAGAGATTCTAGCTGATCATGTAATTGTGACCATTTCATTAGGTATGTGTTGATAAGGACTGAGTATTATGAGGATGATGCTTTCTGAAGTGAGCGCATTTATATATGTAAGAGATACATTTTGTCATTGCAAATTAAGAGCTTTGTCTGAATGTGTGTATGTTTTGAAAGGGTGTCTAAAAGCACAAGCATCCAGCCTATTCATCCCCAGTCTCCCAACCGAGAAAATGGAGGTCATCGATAAGCTGTGCTTTGGCAATATTGCCAAGATCTTTCTGGAGTACGAAGAGGCATTCTGGGAAAATGATGTTGGTTCTATCAGCCTCATTTATGAGGATGACACCCCTGCCTCAGTATCCACCAATAAAATGCAGTGGCTCAAGAACGTGCAGTCCTTTTCTGTCCTGAGACCCAAAGAAAGGTTAATGTTGGATCAAATGACAGTGAAATGTTCAGTCATTTTAAATATATGATACATTTATTATTTTACATTTGCATGTATAGATGCTGTATGAGAAATCTGGATATATACAATTACTCTTAAACACCACTGACTATAATTAATAGTAAAATGTAGGAAAATCAGCCAAAACCCGTGCTTCAAAGATTCAAAATAATAATGATAATAATAATTTGTTGTAGTAGTAGTAGTACTAACATTATTATTATGACTGTTTATGGTGCAAAAAGCTGTAGTAACATTATTCTCTCTTTTCTAGGTTTGGCAATATCTTAATTGGTTGGTGTCCAGCAGACATAGCTGACCTGGTTGAAACCATGACAGATGATGAGCTCTCAACTGCGATCACTGATCATCTCAAAATGTTCTTTGGTAAAGAATCCTCTTTTATTCATTGTGAGTGTTTGCTAATGTGCCAGTTAAGACTTTAAGGTTTTTACAAGTTGTAAAAAATGTGTTGGTGAAAAGTTGTTTTTTCAAGTATCATGTATTTTTAATATTTTCTATACTCCTAAGGACGTTCAAACATTCCCCAGCCGAAATCCATACTCTGCACTAAGTGGCGCAGCAACAAGTTCATAAAAGGAAGCTACGCTTTCCTTCCTGTTGGTGTTGATGGCCAAGTTATGGACACATTGGCCCAACCACTAGTGGGCAGTCGGCATCCTGACCAAGTATGTGATTTTTCTTTTTCTTTTTGCGTATACCATTATTTTGAATTTAACATAATAATGGAATATTCTTTTTATTTAAATATGTGTTTGGTTTATGGGCTATCAAGCAGAAGGTTTTGATAAAGAATATATGTTTAAAAGACGGTTGGGGTAAGGCCCTCCTTTGATTTGCTTTTCTTTGTCATTGTAGTATTAAAGTGATTTTTTTACTCCATATATTTCAGGATCTTCAGATCCTGTTTGCAGGTGAGGCAACGATGAAGACTCTTTATGGCACAGTGCAAGGAGCTCTACTCTCGGGACACAGGGAGGCAGACAGACTGGCAGCACATTATAAGAAGACAGTGGCTCCCACTTCCACTACCTCATTGGACAAACAAGTTTAGAGAGTTAAAATCTGTTCATAATCTAAAATTTATTCTGTGACTGATGGTGTCCAATAACAGGGCAGAGAAAAAAAAGACGTGATCACAACAAGCCTTCCCCCATGAGGCTGCTCTATGTAAAATAAAATAATTTAAACTTTTATTTGCAGACAAAACTGTTTTAATTAAGAAAAAAGACTGATTTTAACTTTTTACTGTTGTGTATTGTACCTTTTTATATCGTATACTATGTATTGTGTATATTTTTATGACGAGCTGAACATATGATCAGAATTTCACACTGTATTTTTAAATAAAATATTGCATGCTAAATTGTGGTTTGATTATTAAAATTGTAAGCAGTTGGTTTGCATAAATCTATTTTATTTAGAGAAAAAAATAACCGCTGCTTTTTCTTCACAAAACAAAAATCAAACAGAACAGACAGCGGAACTATTGGAAGTTGCAGCACAAGTTTCCAGGGGAGCGTTCTATGCTGATACACCTCCATGCCGTTGATGTGACCTTCACCATTCTGAAGTGTTCTGCTATTATCTTCTTACACTTATGAATATATTTACTACGTAGCCGTTTCCAGTGTTGCAGATTTTATGGTCATGGCTTTAAATACAATTGGCCAGCCTTGCAAGAGTATATTTCGGTTTGCGTTTCCACTGCAGTTTAGTATCGCTTTAGAGTGGGCGGGATTATCCACATGTCGTTATAGTTGCGCCGCCTCTACTGCCGCGACTCCTGAAAAACTTTTTCATTCCGCGTCGCCCCATCAAGCTCTCGCTGGATCCGCTCCTCTGCTATCAACGAGAGGAACGTCTGTACTTCCTCAACAGGGGGAACAGCCACTTTTTGGTTGTTAAAAAAAGGTGCACTCGTTCAAAACAGTTGCGTTTGATCCTTCGCTGGCTAATGTCACCAGTGGAAACCCCCCCAAAAGTGAGCCGTACCGTGCCGTACCATGCAGTGGAAAAGCGCCATTAGGTAAGTAGTGAACCGATAGCACATTGAGTTCTCTCGTCTCTGATATAGTGTGGTAGTCAATGTATTTTCTTTTTTAAAGTTGTGTGTTAGTTTTAAACGAAGCCAGAGTGACTCATTTTACCCCTTTAACATATTTTTTAACATATTTTTTGTTCCCATTCAAAATTTATAAGACCTGCTCATGGAAGGATTTTGGTTTCTTAACTATTTCCTTAATGACAAATTATCTGACTTTGCACTAAATGATTGAGGTGCTGAAGCTACAGTGATTGCATTATTTTTCGGTTATACTGCAGCTAGCATAAACATCATCAGTGATGCTCAGAAATGTTTACATTTGTAATGTCCTTTTATTGTTTTGAACAGGTGTCTTCAGGCTGTTGTCACCCACAGGTGCTTGCAGGCCACATCCACATTTCACACTACAGTCTTTCAGTCAGACTCCAACAGAACCTGTGTGGTCCGCTTTGGGAGGCAGAAGTATGAGAGGATGTATCCGGTTCTGTTGGTGAGACCTGAAGGATCCACCATCAACATCAGATATAAAGAGCCAAGAAGAATAATGAAGGTTAGTGGTTTATATTCCAGTTTCCAAGCTTTTTTGTTAAAGGTACACACTTCACCCAAAAAGGAAAATTCTGCTATTATTCACTCAATATCATGTTGGTGGTGTGTTTTTATGTGGTAGGCAAAAGGAGGATTTTTTTGAAGAACTGTTATACAATGGTAGTTTAAAATGTCATCAAGTTTAAAAAAAAAAAAAAAGGTCCTTGGGTGAGTGTTTTGAGTCAGTTATCAACAGTTTTTACTGTATTTTATTTTTCCTCCCAGATGCCCGTGGACATCACCACCCTCTCGGAGGAGGAGAAGAAAATCAGGATGCGGAAAAGAGAACCGAAGAGGGCAGCGAAACAGAAATTGGATGATTTTGAGGATGATTTCAAAGTTGATGATTACAGCAAATTCTGGAAGAAGAAATAAATGGACTGACATTCAGAGTATTTATGTTGTCTCACATGTACAATATTGCAATTTTGTTTTATATGTCACCCTTCAATTAAAAAGTCTTCAAATGTTTGTCATTCTCTGATTTTTTTTAATTTTTATTTGGGGCTGAATTGCATCATTTTTTTAATTAAGTATTCTTATATATACTGTACTAGTTAAATTTTTTCCACAATTTTTCAAAATTTTTCCTGTTTTTATGGAATTAATTCATTTAGATTATTATGCTAAATAACCCCACAAAATTATATATTTTGTATATAAAGACGTAAACCGTTAACTTTAAAATATATTCGTTTTCAGCGTCCTCACGTGGTGATGTGTAGCTGTCATATAATGCGTAACTCAGCATTGCATTCTCAGCATTCTCTGGAACAGGCTGATTAATTATTAATGAATTTAGTACCTGCTTCAAAGTTCACACTTTTGCCTCAGGCATTGTACAAAATGCCAGCTTCACCTGAACTTGTAACGGGCACCCCAGAGCCCGAGGTGCCCAGGAAGTTTACTTTGGAGGCTGCTGATATTGCTGTGGTTGTGATCTACTTTGTGTTTGTGTTGGCAGTTGGAATATGGGTAAGTAAAAGTCTGAAGCCTCTCTGGTAATATTTGCATTGATGTAGAGAATTCTGTATGCCTAATTCTTGATACAGAGATGGAACTGCTGTGTTTTTGATTTGTAGTCTTCAGTCAGAGCCAACCGGGGAACAGTGGGTGGATACTTCTTGGCCGGACGATCCATGACATGGTGGCCAGTGAGTTTTTGTGTGTTTACTCATAATAATGAAGCTGGGATGTTTATTTTGTGGATGTCTACAAGGAAGCATCTTGATTTTTAAAGTCCTTGCCTGGAATTACAACCAGGAAAGCGGAAATAATAAATCAATCCAGTCTCCTAAGTGAATTTATTTCATGTAAACACATTATGAAGTAAATGTGTTTTGTGTTAAATTAAATGAAATCATATACAACAGTTATACACAAATCATATTTACAGAAGATTCATATTTAATGTGAAGACATGTCTCTTTCAGCTTGATTTATCATAGTTTCATTTAGTTTTGGGAGTGTTTTCTCAGTATGTCTCTCTTGTGTTATGTTTCAACAGATTGGAGCCTCTTTGATGTCGAGTAACGTAGGCAGCGGGCTGTTCATTGGATTAGCAGGAACAGGGGCTGCAGGGGGACTCGCAGTCGGGGGATTTGAGTGGAATGTACGGCAGACAAATCAGTCCTCATCCAACAAGCTTTTAGTGTTGTTTCAGTAATTCCTGATTTAATTTGTGAGATTGTTGTTGTCTTAGGCTAATCAAATGTTTGACAGTTACTGTATATTGCATCAAATGCTGAAACAAAACAAGTGTGATGCTCTTTAGGCAACATGGCTCCTCATTGCCTTGGGCTGGATCTTTGTGCCTGTGTATATTTCTGCTGGAGTAGTCACAATGCCAGAGTATCTGAGGAAGAGGTTCGGGGGTCAGCGCATCCGCATCTACATGAGTGTGCTGTCTCTCATCCTCTACATTTTCACCAAGATATCAGTAAGACTCCTTAGTCGAATAAATGTGAATTAAGTATTATTAAATAATATATAATAATTATTATGTATTTGTTATATATGTATTAAATATAACATATTCAATATATTCAATATAACATTTGATTTGTTATATATTTAAAGAAAAATAAAATAACAGTACATTAAAACAAACAGAAACTTTACAAAACTAGAAAAAAAATAGGATCTCATAATAATTAGAAAAAAGTATACTATGACAAAAAAAATGCAAATTAGAAGGAAAAGAGGACTTTATATTGTTAACTATATATTGTTTTAAATTTACATTTATATTAATGATATTGTAATGATAAAAGAGTGACTAGTATGAATGAAAAAAACTT